GATACTTATTATAGGAAATGGCCCAATGTTAGGGATTACAACATTACTTATTCTATTACTTGATGCAAATTCAACATGAATTTCGCTTGGTTTAATACTTGCACCAATCTCTAATTGAAAGAAAATATGGAGAAACCAATAAGATAGTTCTAAAAATTTACATCTACCACAGATGTCTAATCACTAATTAATCAATGTTTAAAAAATAAAAATAAGTTAGGTTCAGAGGTAACAGGTTTAAGATTGGTGCCTGAAGAGGCATACCACAGTACATATATTACTTTTTTTATGGCTCTGGCACGATTTGTGCATTAGCCAGCGTCAAGTAAAGTATTTTTTATAATTCGTGCTTGTCTTTAGAAATTCGACCGTGTCCTCCATGTACGGTTAAGGCACTCGCCCGGTACCGCACAACCCTCCTAAAGGCCGAGAACAAATTTAAATTAAATTAAAACTTGCCCTCGAACCGGGAATCGAACCCGGTACCCCTCACCTAGCTGCCATATATTACTTAAAACTAAAGACTTAAAAAAAAAAGATAAACTCCTTTATTAAAAAAATATCATAGCCACTGGATTATTATTCGTTTACGGATGGCGGGAAAAATAATTGAAAATATAACAAGAAATGACAACGTGTCTTATCACGGCTTATGTAAATAACATAGTAATAAACTTTGGTATAACATGCCATGATAAATTATGCTTTACTAGAAAACAATAACGTATAACAATGGTATCAGAGTTATAAGTATATGCTTTAAATAACTTTTTAAAGACCGCGTGGGTCATGCGTCACGAGACAGTAATAACTGAGACATATGTGTCCTTTGAAATAAAATATTCCAGTCTCATGTGTGACATGTAAGAATACTAAAATTTTCAGCGGAACTTAAACGATATTTAAAATTTAGATAATGTATTTTTTATTTTATTAGTTCGAAAGCTCGGTTCAATTTGTAGCCTACAATTACTTCTATGACGTCACCCTGAATCGCGCTAACATAGTTATTCCGCTAAGGATATATACAACTTCTCGGTCTTAGCCAATGGGGACTTCGTGACAGTCAGTGGTTAGGTTAGAGGATCTTACGTATAGGTCGAAGGACCACGCACCTTCCTTCAACTACGGATTGATGACAAAATCTGACTAGAAATATGGCAAGTAAAATCTATCAGCCATGTAGGTAGAGTTAAAGTTGCGCCTTATGATAAAAAATACGCCCGATAACAATTAGACATGTCACTTTTTATTTGTGTCTCGTTATATGTCAATAAAAGGTGTAAATTGTATGGAATTGCATCAAGTATATAGTATGTTTTAGAATGAAATAATTAAACTATTTTTGTTTGTGATTAAAATTGTTGTATCACTATTGTTAAGATTTGCCAATTATTTTTGTTGAAATTATGTATTTAACTAATAACTAGGACTTAAATCATGCTTTTCTACTGATTGTTTATGTATCTATTGTGGTCAAATTACGTTATGTTGAGCCAACGTATTTCTGGAAATCATCTGAATACATTAATGCAAAATTTTAAGAAAATTTATTCTGGTCTTTTATTTCTCTCTATAACTAAGATAGACATGCTAATTTATAATAAAATTCTGATAGCTAATTGGATACAACAGGAAAACCATACAAGATTATTTTATAAAAACAATGTTTTTCTGAAGTAGTTGCCCAAATTATCTTATTTTCATAGCATTGCCGTTTTTTGCGTTCATTATCTCTTAATATGTATTGTACAATAAACTTAGAATTCAATGCCACCGCGATAAAATGGTATTTGTACAGTTAGTTTAAAAACACGCCCTACTCAAGCCTTTATTTTATCTTATCTGTTTAAAGCCTGTTTGGAGATTGTAAAGTACATGCCTGTGGTAAATACAAAACCCCTTTTTTATTTTCCAAATTATAATTTTATTTTAGCTAAACTGAGATTATTTCACCTACAACCAATTTTTCTTAAGCGGGATTGGACCTTACCAGTCCCGCCGTTTGCAGTCAGCGAGGCGGTTAGCGGTGAACGCATCCATTAATTTCTATTAATATATAGAAACCAGGAGGCGTGTAGAAGCCGAGTAAACTTTGTTGGAAACCTTAAAGCAGTTATAATAATTAATTAAAAAAATAAATAAACACCCATCACTTACATATGGAAACAGGTGTGTTTCCGGAAATCTACAAGAAAGCTCTCATAACGCCTATCTACAAGGGAGGTGACAGAAGCCTTGTAGACAACTATAGACCTATCTCCTTACTTCCCATCCTGTCCAAAATCTTGGAACGATTATTGAACAGGCGATTGGTTGATTTCCTCGACAAACACAATATTATTTCAGACTCTCAATATGGTTTTCGTTTCGGTAGGTCCACTGATGACGCAGTTCATAGCTTGACCGATTTTATTGTTAGGAATATGGACAGGAGGGAAAAAAGTGATTGGTGTGTTCATAAAATATATAACTAAATATATTTTATGAAGACACCAATCACATAAAACATAACTTCTTCGAAAAAACCAAATTCATGACCCTTGCAATGTCGAAGCGTGACATTCCTTCTGGTCTTGCACTTGTGTCACATGCTGGTTCATGTCTGACCGGGGAGCACTGCGGTTGTCCAAAGCTCAACTCCGCAGGCACAGTGAAGTACTTGGGAGTCATGCTAGATACCAATCTAAATTTCCAAGCTCATATTGACCTACTGGCAGGTAGAATTAGAAAACTGATCTATGTATTCAAAATTTTGAGGCACATTGCTAATAATACAATTATAAAAACTGTCTACCTGTCGCTAGGTCAATCCATTCTGAGCTATTGCATCACTTCTTGGGGTGGCTCAGCAAAAACCCACCTTCTGAAAGTAGAGAGAGCTCAGAGGGCAATACTCAAGGTTAGTGCCTCCCTTCCCTTCATTTGTCCCACCACAGAGGTATACAGACTTTGGAAGGTACTCTCTGTGCGTCAAATATTCATTCTTGCCACAATTTTACGCAAGCACTCCCTTATCAATTATGACCAACACCTTAAAGATAACAAGCGTAGAAAAGGCATGGCACTTCAAAGCCCTTTCGCACAAGTTTTGCCCAGAAATTCTTCTGTTTTTTGGGGGATTACTTGTATAATAAGGTCAACACTTCCATTTCCATATATCCTCTAACAAAACATGAGTGCAAGAAGACGGTTGCACTGTGGCTACTGGACCTCAACTATGAGGAAACAGAAAAAATGCTTACCATAATTAAATAGTTAAGTATAAAGTTGATGCTAATCTATGTTAATAATAGGGAATAAATTTTTAGTATAATAGTTTTAGCTTTATTAGATTAATACTTAAGTAATAAAACATACACAGACACACCCACACACATACACATAATTTACGCATACACACATACCCCATGTGGTTTCCTTATATGTGTATTCCTATAAGTATTGTAATAATGATTGTTTATTCTCACTAGATTTTTCTTTACTATATATTGTATTGTATAAGACCTTCTGTCGATCCGAAGTGGTGGAGGCCTGATGACCTGTGACACAGGTACTCTTACCTTTAGCAGGCATCAGTCTCACACAAACTAGCTTTTTCCCTAAACAGAAGTAAGACAATTATTTATTTATAATAGTATATAACTGTCACTTGCATAGTACTAAGTTTTTGTGAGAAATAAATAAATAAATAAATAAATAAATATTAAAAAAATAATAATAATTATTATTATTATTAAGGAAGTTTTCTGTGATAATAATCAAGGCAAATATATAACAATGTTAAAACTTGCAGAATTGTATATAGAGTCAAAACTTTACACTGAATTATAAAGCAATCGCTTTGTAAATCGATTGACCGTAAGTTATAATTGCCATCCCATTTTCGGTCATGACATTTAAAATTAGCCGCTTAAAGCATTTTTAACAAAGCGTGACCTATTTTGCGTTAGCAATTAAACGGGCGGCATAACTAAATTTACTATAATTAACCTTAGACCTAGGTTTAGTACACGTAGAGCTATTATTTGGTTATTTTTAACACGCATGTTGATATGAACATTGAAAATTTCAGAAATAGGAGTTGCAATACATTTCTTCAAATAAATTTTTGTTTTTTAATGCATACTGACCCATAACAGCTGTTTTTTAGTAGAAGTAGGCTTGTTAAATGTTCGTGTGAAAAGTACAGATAATCCTTTATACTTATTTAGATATTAGTGCTTAAAGATTTAAAAAATAAACACCGAATGATTAAAAAAAGAATTAAAAGCATGAAATATCAGGTTTGCTGGTAAGAAATGTATAATTAGTATTTAAATTTTCAGCGGTTTAGATTTATTTATTTATTTACAGCCCATAAAACAATTAAGTATTTTACAAAATTGACAGAAAACCTCCTGATATCAACTAATCTTTTCCAAGTATATATTTAAATCACAGTGCATTACTTCATAAATAAATAGATTATTCCACGAATGTAATTGTAAATACTAAATAATGAACTTACTATATTGTCTCTAATTTTGTATCTGCAACAAGTACTTAGCCAATCTAGACGTGTTGAACGAACATGTCCATGATTCATCATAATAGGTATGTTTAATAATTGTACTAGGTAGCTTTAAATGGCTGGTAACTTCCGAGTCACATATAGAATTCAAATAGGCTTGCATTTTTGGTTACGAATTACAATAGAACATTGATTCAATGTCTTTAGACCTTCAACACAACCGATTTATTTAATTAGGACTAACAAACCTTTAGGTTAGACACGTCATTGATTATTATATTAAGTATTTTAATACTTAATTTCACTCTGGTAGGTACTCTGTCAAAGGCCGGCAACGCTTTAAAGGATGTTCAGTGGCTGCGAAAGTTAGCTTTTATGATCATCTGCAGGCTCGTTTGTGCTTAATATTTGAAAAAAACTAACTCGTTTGAATATCTGTAAAGCTGGGCCAGATACATGTCTGTTAATTATTTCTTAAATAAAATAGATGATAATATTTCTGGAAGAAGCTTCAACGGGAGGAGTTTTCCGGAATCCAAAGCCAGAACCTCCGGGTTATAGGCCACATAAAGTTCTTCTACCACCGCGTCACATAAAGCTGGGATTGATGAAGCAATTTGAGTTTCCAGGCCTCTCGGAGGCTACGTTGAAGGAAGGTGTTTCTGTTGGACCAGATATTAGACGACTTATGACTGATCCACAATTCATCACAACCATGACGGATCTTTAAAGAGAAGGGTGGATTGCCTTTAAATGACTTTATAGAGAAATTTTTAGGCAATAACAAAGACTCTAACTACAAACAAATCGTTAAAAAAATGTTAAAGCATTTCAAGCTTTAGGTTAAGAGATATTAGGGAGATGGAATAAAGATACCAGAGAAGTTGGAGCGTCTCAATGATGGCAGACTACTGTTTGACGCTTCAGATAAACATTCCAGATGCTTCCAAGCGAAAATGTACCAAAAGGAGTCTCACTGGTAAAAAATATGTGTTTATTGCTTACTAATGAATGTATTTTAGATAAAAAAATAAGTTTTGTTACGCAACTATAAATTTAAAAAAAATTAGTCTTTTATCTTTTAGTTTAAGCTAATAAATTGTTTAGCATAGATACCCGCATTATCAGAAAACGTGACCTTCTAAGACAAAATGATGTCATTTTCGGATACAGCACACCCAAAATCATAAGAATTACACAAAAAAACCAAAACAGCTCTCATTTTTTTTGCAGACTTGTGCAATGTAATGGTCTTTTGATAACCTTTGCTAGGAGTGCTTATCTCAGGTAAGTGATTTACATTATCAAGTTTCATATTTAATTTTTTGGTAAAAAAATTTACCTTATCTTATCATCATTAGGTTTATCTAGGCAAGGACGCGGCTATGGTTACGACATCCTTTGACCTTGCACTAGATAAGTATTTCTTGGTCTGTACCATAAAATCTATGGACTCCTAAACTACTTAACCGATTTCAATCAACTTTGCACACCGTGCGCAGTTTGATCTAACTTAAAAGATACTTACATATAACTAAACTATACTTATATATAACTTACATATATATATATATAATGTTCCTGTACGTGTGTATGTCACTGAACTCCTCTTAAACGGCTGGATCTATTTAAATGATTTTTTTGTATGCGTTTGGCGCTGCAGTCGGTACTTTCATACTTTTAATAATAATGTTTAATATCCCTTGAAATATCATACAAGACGTCTTTCGGGTCCGCTAGTATAATATAAAAAGGTACTCTAGGTACACCAAGTAATAAGCAACTCCGATATGAATAATACATAAATCATAATATTTCAATGTATATAACATTTAAAAGCACTGCAAGCCACAAACTCCGATGTAACTAAAGAGAAGTATTTTTATTGTTGTACTAACAGTACAGAATCTTAACAGCCATGAGAATACTGAGATGAAGAGAATTAGCTTTGTTTGTGACAGCACTGGCTAGACTAGCTTTTTTAAATTTAGGAAATCCTTGCTCTCGAAGTTGTAGGGGTTAGTGGAGGTCAACTCACTCCTAATTATCTGCTGCTGCATTCTACCAGTCTGACTTAACCAAGCTGAAAGTGTACAAAAATATACATGACACCAGTCCCAAAGGAATACGTAACATTGTCTTTAGTACACGACATTTAAGGAATTGCTATTTATCATTTTGCATAAATCTAAAATAAATATTTTTTGCATTTAAAGGTTTTTAAATTTAAAATGATTTTGTCATTGTTACGAAGAAATGAGCACATCAACAGGAAGACAATTATACTATTCATGGTTACGAGGATATAAATCAAGGAAACATCTTCATAAAATTAATTAAATGTTTAATACATTAATAACAATTTATAACTAGACTTTCCACTCAAACTTTACAATGCTTAATTCCCAAGCTCGTATAATGAGAGTTGCTTTGTCGGAGTATTTCTAATAATTAGGTATAATGACACAAAGTATAAACACAATTAAATAATTTAAGAAACTAAAAGAAATAATTGACCTTCTTAAGAAGGTTGGATTTTAGGCCGGTGTCTAGACACAATAATCAACTGAATTCTATATCAACTTATCTATTTCTTAATATCGGTCAGTTCGAAAATAAAGTTCAATGTTAGCTCATAAGTAATCAAATTGTGAATAGTTTAAATATAATTGTACCCATGGCTGCAGAAACGAAGTGATATAAAAGTGGAGGATAAAATGACTGTTATTATATAACATTATACATTCACATAATCAGTCTAATATCACATTGATACACGTATTATTACCATACGGAATATTTCTATTACGGAAGAGCTGAGACCCCTGGCACAAGTAATTTATATTTACTTAAAAAGGGGCCCACACATTGTATATAATTCTAGGTGGTTGGAAACAATTTGGAATTTAGAACGGACTTGAGTTAAACTGAATATATCATTTTGTTTTATTATGAAATAAATATTTTATGATTTAGTGATTAGACCGATGACACACATAATAAATATAATGACAGGCAATTTTATATAAAATACTAGCCGTGTCCCGCTCGCTTTGCTGGGCGAAATAAATAAAATTTTATGTTTCATTATTATTTTTTTTCATATTTTTATTATTCTTCTTTTTAACTTCCCGTTAAGAAAATTGAAAATTTTCGAAAATCGAGTTTTTAACAGATGTTGACGTTTTGAGGTTCTAGGAAGCCTCCCCGAATGTTTCCGCGGTGAAGTCCGTATCTATAAATTTTCATAAAAGTAAAACAGCAATAAAAAAATGTAGGAAATTTAAAAAATAAATAGCCATAAACCATCTAGGAAACCATCGAATGGCAGTAGTTTCATGTCGATACGATCAGTGATTAAGGCGTGAAGGAGCCTCAAACGAAGACCATTTTTCTTATATAAATATAGATTATTCAATTTCCGAGTTTCAGAGACTTAGTACGTCAGTTAGAAACAGAAGTGAGTTTATGTCAATAGCAATTACGTTTATTACTTTCCTAGACTGTAGATAAGCTTTGTTGGTAGATAATCATAAAAGTTTTAAACAACCTTGACTGAAGGCTAATCGATTATTTTAGCGTTTTCTGAATTAGTTCAGTGGGACGCAGTTATGGTATTCTAGCGCTGTATTGATCATATATAATATATATATTATTACCGCAACCAATCTTGATACATGATTATTTTGTTTTAACAGTAATTACCACTTGAAATTTTATCTACGACTGTAATTCTATTGCACTTCTTGTGTTATGTGATAAACGTTGGATTATTGGCTGCCACTATCTATGTGGCTTGGTTGGGTTTTCAAAGCGTTTAATGTTGTTTTCACGGTTTCGTTGAATGACTAAGAGCCTGACACCCGGAGAGCGCTGATATGGACTTATTCGTAACGGTTTTTCTCTTAAATTAATGTACACTATTAAGAGCGTTAATCTTAGGAATAAGAATTGTTTATAATATAAAAAACAAGAATTCAAAGTAGACATCTTTTGCGCACATACAGAAAGTCCATTGGTGCGCAGCAGATGAGCCTCCTGCCCGTTTTCCCCCTGTTCTATAAAAAAAAATCTCATTCTCAGTAATAACCTATCCTTATCTGTAAACTGACATTATATTAAACAAAAGAAAAGTTTAGCGATTTATAAGGAAACTCAAGTAAGCTCCTACCATTTTCTTTTAAGTTTGTGCTAACTAAGTCGCAGGCAAATACTGGTAGAATACTTTATTGACATAATAGTTAATGCATACTAAACGAAGTCTCCAATTGCCCTACATTTTAGTGAACTCCTTACTTGCGTGTCACTTTTATTTGCTCTGTTTCGTCACGCATACAACTTAATGTCATAAACGGTCAATGTCGGTCCATAAGGATGTTCGTTATATTCTACCATATTAACAATGCATCGCAATTTCCTCTGACAGCGTAAGCTATTTATTAAGTTACTAGATGAACTGGTGAACTTCGTATCACCTACATATATTTGTGTCATAACTTAATACAGTTTTTGAAGTTATCCTTCTTTTGGCGCGTTATGGAAAAATGATGAGAGTAAATTTATACGATGCGCGCGCACACCGTCTCAAAAAACCGGCAACCTGAAGTTAGCTATAGTTAGTGTCATTTTTTCTACAAACGTAGAAGATTTTTTTATCTTGTTACGCCAAAGAAGTATAACTTCTGACGCGTGTACATAAGTACACACACGTTCTTTTTTAAACAGACCTAAGACATCGGATCTCATCCAGCTATGCAACACAAAGTTGTCATCAAGACATCTATGAATGTATGACTACCAAGTGACAATTTTTATCTCTGAAAAAGTCAAATGACATCAAATATTTCCCAGTTAGGAACAGTTTTTACTGGAAAATTCAATTGTCGTTTTAAGTATTTTCCTTTACTTACTATTTATGTTTCCCACCGTTTAAACCTTCCCTGAACTTGCACAAATATTTCAAGATCTAAAGACAAATCGGTCCAGCCATTCTCAAGTTTTAGCGAGACAAACGAACAGCAATACATTTTGATTTATATAGATAGATGCAAGTGATTTAACAATGGAATGTTATAATAATAACTATTTACCATAGTGTATATATGTAAAGGATATAAAAAATCGTCATCGAACGCTCATTAATAAGTTTTTCATTTTGGTTAAAAGCTTTTAAATCGGCGATTTCAACAGCAATTACTATTAGATCGACCAAACAGATAAGTTGCATATGTAAACTTGCAATAACCTATCATTCATGTGTGGCTCTAATGTGGTTCAATTTATCCTTACGTAAAGCATGGTATTTGGGAATCTGTTGCCAATATTGCATATATTTTTCTTTTTAATATAAAGATTCTGCATAGTTGTTCCTGAAATATCGGAAAAACGTGATATAGTCTTGAAAACGCTTGATTAGCCAAACATTTGTGCATGTAATGCATTTATATTTTATCGCAAAACTAAAATAAACCAGATATTAATCAACATATTATATAGGTACAGCTCATAATAAGGAATGAATCACGTCTAAATACTGGCAGAAAAATACATGTTATATGAATCAAATTGATAAAAGTATGACTCAGTTTGTCATAGATAATATTTCTGAAGCAGGATGAAATTTAAAATATCAGTTAGCTATATCACCCGTGTCACCTTGCCAATGAATGAAGTTGAAGGCTTATGGTGCGTCATATATTATAATCAGTTTAAATTTCTTTTGTGGGTGGG